TGGGCATTTGGTTTGTTTGGTAACACCAAACCGAGGCCAAGCAAACCGAGGGACTGTGCTCTATAACATTCTCCTGTGGAGAGTACTAATTAGGGATCCTTGAGAACTACTTTAATATCTTCTGAGGACAGGGCCCCAGAACCCCATTCCAGGAGTTCTCATCTCTCAACTCTCTTCCCCTTCATAACACTTCCAAACTGGGGGACACATGTTTAGCACATGGAACCCGGGGTGCTATACACAAACCATCCCAAACCACAGCAGAGGGCTTTTGCCTGTGAAGGGGCTGGGCTGCGGCGGGTGGGGGGCACTTGGAAGGAATGCCCCACCCCTGCAGGTCTTCCCAGGCATCTGTGCCACCTCTCTCCCCTACACTATCTCACCTCTCCTGGGCAGGACCAGATGCATGGCATCCACTCCAGTGTGGGCCACACTGCACCCTAGAATCTGCCTCAGCTGAACCCTCAGCCTGCTCCTCTGTCCACACAACCCACACCACCCTAGCTGGGACCACAGGCCCCACCTCTTACCCAGAGCAGGTCCCCCAGGGGGCTCAGGCACTACACATCACATGTGGCTTTGGCACATGGACATGGAGTAAACAGGGACATGTGAACATGGCGTTTCTGAGTTCAGAGTAGTTCAAATGTTCCCAGGCATCACCTGCACTGCTGGGGTCCGGCTCAATGGCTGGGGCACCTGCCTAGACACTTCTCACAGGACAGGGACCCAGGGGCCCTCTCCTTGGCAGGGTCGGGGGTGAGCCAGGGAGAGGAAGTATAATGGTTAGGGCTGTAGGAGTTCCTTTACTGGGTATCTAGACACCCCTAGCCTCTAGGCCTATGGCTTTCTCTGCTAACCAGGCCCACTGGCTAAGTGCACTGGGCATTTAGTCTCCCTCCACACCCCAACAGGACACCCCTATGCTCCTCCACCCCTCACCAGATCCACCGTCATCCTCTGCTCCTGATCACAGTCCAGGGACTGTCCAGATGAACTGGTGATGAACTGGTTTTCTCATAGGATCCACACATTCACCTACTCAGTCCTGCATCCCACACCCAGCCCAGGAAGTTTGTAAATTACTGCAAGCTGAGGACTAAAAGAGCAGGAAAAAAAAGAAAGAAAGAAAAAAAAATGGTCAGGACGTCCCAGGCAGAGGGCACAGCGCATGCAATGACCTGAGAGTAGGCTGGGGTGGCAGGAGGCTGGGCAAAAGGGTGGCACTGGCTGTCCCCCTTTGTCAAGTTCAGCCTGCTAATGAAAGAGAACCAAACCCCCTGTTTGCCTCCTGCTTTCTGAACCCCCAAATCAGAAGCACACATGCCAAGGCGGGGGCATGCATAGGGAGATCATGGGGGAACAGCCTGGCTGTGGGGAGGGCAGAGTGCTCACCGGGCCACATTCTTATGGGCGCTGGAGGTGCAGTTGATGGCCGCATGGATCAGCAGCTGGTTGAAGACATCTCTCTATGAAATCAGTTAGGCAAGTTAAGCACCTGCATTGGGGACCAGGGATGGGCCCCCAACCCAAAGGAACCACTGAGACGAACACCACGCTGAACAGCACAGCCTGGTGTCAGTGTGAAACAAGGGTACCCCTACCCCACGAGTACCCACAACACAGGAGACACCTGGCACTCCAGCCTCTGGTTCCCTGTATACAGATGGCTCACCTGAGCATTGCTGCCCCCAATCTGGACAATTCGGTAGCGGATTGGCAAGAGAAGTTCTAGGGCTCGGTCAGGATTCCCGTTCTCAGCCTCCACAAAGGCCTGGCACAGGGGCAGACCCACATCTTGTGCCAA